ATTTATTAAACTGGCATCTTAAATTAAACCCAATTTCCTCAAAGCTCGATTAGACTTTGTGAGAAAATCCATATTTAAAAAAAATATATATATATACTGAAAGGAATCTGTATTACATTTTTGCAGCAAGGTGAAGAACAAAAACTTATGATTTTGGCATCTGGTGGTGAAAGATTGAGTGAAAGTTTTGTTGACCTTTAAAAACGTGCCAACAGGTGTCGATCAAAATAATGCACACGTGGACCTGTTCCTCAATATGTTGATTGTAAACTTGAACGAATATTCCGCTGTTGATCAAATATATTTGAACAAGAAAACAAGGCGTATACTTGTAAATGAGTGAATATGTAATAAAGAGTCAAATGTATGTTGGTCAAGAAATGCAATGCTCCTTTTTTTCTATATGAAAAATTATCCCTTAAAATGTTACAAAGGCCACTATTTATAGTAACTAGGTTGACGTGGTCACCATTGAATCAGATCCACGTGCCCTCATTTAATAGACCCTGGTATCGCGTCATCCTATCTCACATTAATTACATTTATAGATATTTGACAAAGGGTCAGCCACCCTACAAACCTAGGCTAATATTCTTGACATCTATTTAATGAAGATGTCACATCAATCAGTCCTAAAGATATGCCTATCAAACCAAGTTCTGAGAATTATGGACTTCGAATGTGAAGGGCTTCAATAGAGAGGAGAAAACCACTTTGGTTAGATGAGAAGAACACTTCAGCAGTTTGGCATCAGCTATTTGATGAAAGCACTTAAGTATCCCTTTCTTTATTCTTTAATCGTCCCATTGGGAATGTTACATATGGTCAACAATAATTTCAGAACACGAAATACCATTTCCACATATAGCTTTCTCTTCAGTGTATATTCAATGGTCTTATTAACATCCTCACCTTGTCCATTTACTTGTGGATGACGTGGAAAGGAAAAGTGCTTCTCGATCACCAACTCGTCACATAGGTTCCTAATCATTTTGTTATCGAATTGACGTTCATTGTCTAAGAGAATCAAGCGAGGAATGTCGAATCTGCGGATGATATTTTTCGATAAGAATTTTGATGTGTTCGTTTCAATTATTTTGGCCAATGGCTCGGCTTCGACCCATTTATTAAAGTAGTCAATTGTAACAATAGCAAAGTGGCACTACCCCTTCCCATGTGCATAAGTCCAATGAGATCGACTCCTCACTTGGCTAATGACCATCTGCTAGAAACAACGCTAAGCTCCTGAGAAGGTTGTCTCTGAATTGTGTTAAAATGTTGGCGCTTGCCGCATTTTCTAGCGAACTATTGGGCGTTCTTTTTCAAGGTTGACATGTAGTATCCTTGCCTTAAAACCTTTTGTGCTAAAGCCCATCATCTTGAGTGGTTGCCACATACCACTTCGTGTATCTCTCGGAGTAATAAGTGGCTTCTTCTC